TATATATGTGTGTATATATATATATATATATATATATATACACACATATATATATATATATGTGTGTGTGTATATATACATACATATAAAATATATGTCTTATAAATATATAAAATATATTTTATATATTATTATACAGTATATAAAACCAATAAAAAGCTCCCTGTATATACACACATATATGGTTTACAGTGTAAAATGTATATATGTGTATATATGTATATATAAATATATTTGTATATATATTTTATATTTTTTTGGAGGATAGACGCTCAGGGATGTATTGTGTTGTTTGACCCTTGCTGGTCACCAGCGGCATTGCAGTCATAGCAGCCTTTTCTTTGTGGTTTCAGTTGTAATGTAACTGTTGTTAGGACGTAGCGAAGCTTTTTTTTTGTAATGTTTTGTCAACATGTTGTTGTTTGAAAATCCCTCCCCTTAGAATGATAGACTGAGGATCTGGCTGCTTGTAGCAGTAGAACGAGATTGACAAGAATGAATCATAGGTCAGCACAAACACTGAGCTTCCTCTCTCTGTGCCAAAGCAAACAGTCTTACATTAGAAATCAAAAGGTAGAACGAACTATTATTTGAATCAACATTAAATGATGTCTGTGAGCCGTATCGTTTATACAACTGCGGTCATTAGTTCTCTTGTTTTGCGCTTTCTCCAGACTCAGGTTTACATTGAAATGCTTTCTGTCCAGTCTACATATAGTTTTTAAAGTCAGTTTTTACACAGTGAGCATTTAAACATCATTGTTTATATTTATGTCAAATTGTTGTCCTTACAGTAGGTTCAAAGTTGAAAACCAACTGTGTTCCATTACATGTGGTCTAGTAGTGTGTGATGGGTATGCTAATGAGTGAGCACCTGCTGATGTGGCGCTGTACTCCTCCAACAACATTGTAACCATTACCGCCCCCTACAGGGTCTGTTTGTTCATTAGTAAAGTTTTAACCCAGAGGAGTTTATTTTGTTTGTTGTTTGGGAGTTGAGATTCTGTTGTGAGTATGGCTGTTTTTGTTAACGTTTAAATGGCTAATTTTCTCCAAGCAAGTTCAGTGTCATGACTTAAGACTTACCGTGTGTTTACACATCTCAGGACTTCTCACGCAAGACTCTGAAGCGAACCAGGAGGTATATGATCGATGGTGTGGAGGTGAGCGTGACCACCTCCAAGATCATCGGAGATGATGAGAAGAAGGATGAGGAGATGAGATTCCTGAGGTAAGAACGAGCCCGTCTAAAATGTTTTATATCTAAACACTCAGAGTTGGACTATCACATGTTTCTGTCTCTGGGAAAAACAAATGTTTTCATTCTCTGTCAATGAAGCTCATGATCCCAGGGCCCTCTTCATTCCTTCGCTCTGACTCAAGTTCTCCCAGTGACAAGTGACCTGTAGGAGGTTCCTTGTATGACACATGACCAGCCGACCATTTAAGGCGAGCTGCTGTTTTTGGGTCAAAGTCCTGAAGACTCACTGGTTTAAAAGAATGAACATATTTGACAAATGACCCTTAAATATGTCTAAAGAGTTGGTGATCTGTGTGTGGTTATGACAACCCTGCTGCATCACTGTTGAGTTTTGATGCGATTCCTCTGCCATCTAGTGTTAAATACGTGGCACTGCACCTAAGTAGAGAAAAGAAAATGTGCAAAATGATTCTAAAAAAGTTTAATAAAAATATATATGAATAAATATACATATCCTGACTTGTGTTACAACTCAATGATAATTTTGTGTCTGCATTTTTAGGCGTCAGGAGCTGCGGGAGCTTCGTCTTCTGCAGAAGGAAGAGCATCGAGCGCAGGTTCTTCTAAACACCAAACTGGAGGCACAGAAAGATCAGATGCAAAGACGGTTTGACCAAGAGATGAATGTAAGTCACACACACACACACACACACACACACACAATTATAGGTCTTTAGCCCAGCATAATGCACATCAAACCTTCATTCTAAGTTTTACATGTGCTTTATTTCCATCCTTGTGCTTTAGGCCAAGAAGAAGCACTTTGATGTGGAGCTGGAAAACCTAGAGAAGAACCAGAAGCAGACCATTGAGAGGATGGAGGCAGACCACAGCGTCAGACTCAAGGACGAGACCAAACGCATCAGATCGGAGCAGGAACGCGACCTGCACCGGTTTCAGGATCAGATGAAGCACAAGAAAAAGGAGGTACTTTGAACAAAATAGGATGTTTAATTGATAAGTATTGTGTTTATGTATTATATATATGCATATGTTTACTAATTTAGTATAATTTAAAGCCCTTCACCCATGAGTTTACAACCGATAAAAAGTAAAAATTGAACTTTTATTTTACCAGTAAACAAAATCACTGAAACGAACTATTCATTAGACTTTAATATGTAATGCTGAGTATCATTTATTAAGTTAAATCCTGTTTTCTTAAAAAGTTACTTTATTGATACAAGATTTTCAGAAATCAAAAAATCCAATTGCAATTTTTCTCAGGTGAAGCAGTCTGTGGATAAACTGCCCAGAAATCAGCGGAAAGACACGTTAAAGCAGAGGCTGAGTTCCTTCCAGGAAATGAAGATAAGCGAGGTACAATGTTTTGTTGCTCATTGATGTTTTTTTCATGTACGTCTGACCTGTTTTGTTGTTGTAAATTCATGAGCCTTTTTTGCCATTTAAGGAGGAGAAATTCTTAACCACACAGAAGAACCACCTGGACAGTACGCTAAAGAAAATTATCAGCAACAACAAAAGAGAGATTGCAGAGAAGGAGAGAGAATGTCTGCAGAAGAAGCAAAACCTCATACGACGTATGCTGTCTCTTACGAGAGGTCGAGAGAAAATCAGACGAACCCTGTTCCTAATAATCCGTGTTTTCCTTTCATTTTATTTAGAACGCGAAGCGACGCTGTGGGACATGGAGGAGAAATATCACTATGAGAGACACCAGTTACTGAAGCAGCAGCTGAAAGATCGGTACTTCCTTCAAAGGCACCAGCTCCTGAAGAAGCACGAAAAGGTAAATCAGCGGAGCAACCTTCAGGACATTTTATTTACGACTAAACATGACCTTAAAGTTGAAGTCTTAGATACCAAGGATTTTTAATTTTCAGGTCCATATATTTAACATTTGAATACTTTTTCACACTCTTGTGTGTGTGTGTGTGTGTGTGTGCGTGCGTCCTTCATGTAGGAGCAAGAGCACATGCAGTGCTACAATCAGCGGATGATCGAAATCCTGAAAGGTCGGCAGCAGCAGGAAAAGCACCGTCTGCCTAAGATCCAGAGAAGTGAAGCCAAGACTCGCATGGCCATGTTCAAGAAGAGCCTCCGCATCAACTCCTCAGGCAGCGCCTCCGAGGACCGGGAGAAGGTCAAACAGGTACGAAAAAAAACAGAATGTCACCCACCGTACAGAGGTTTCAACTTTTAAGGAACATATTTTTCAAAATTAAGTTTCTCAGGGTTGATAAACATATCTGCGTAAATCCGTCCGCAAATTGTCCTACTACCAGTGGAGGGGGGCGGAGCAAAGAGTCTCATTAACATTTAAAGCTAAAGGCACAGAAACTAGTCGTTCAGAGCAGAGCTGGTAAACATGGTCAATGACTCACCCGCCCCGCCCTTGTCTCCCCAGTTTGCTCAGAGGGAATAGAAACGCCAGAAAGCAGAGAGGCAGCATCAGCAGCAGAAGCACGAGAACCAGATGAGAGAGATGATTGGTCAGTGTGAGAGCAACGTCCGGGAGCTGAAGCAGCTACAGGTGAGCCGTCTGTCACACGTGTCAGTGATCTCTTCTGCTGACTGTTTATGAATGATTATTCACGATTAATACAAATAAATGACAAAACATTAATGACAGCAGGTCTGTGTTCCTTTTCCAAATGAAGGAATTATTCATATGGAAAAAATATCAAGGAAAACATGGCCTTGAGAGTTGTTTTTTTTTTTAACAAGTTTCCACACAATGTGTGTAATTAACGACACAGGTATACTGTAGACTATGGAATGATATACCGGATATACAGTAATTTACACCCTAAAGAAAAATGGTGGCTGATTGGTAGTTACTAACAAAAGAGTATTCCCTGCGACAGAATGAAAAGTGCCATCTGCTGGTTGAGAACGAGACCCAGAGGCTGAAGTTTCTAGATGAGCAACACAACCTCTTCTTGAAGGAGTGGAGGGAACAGTTGAAACCCAGAAAGAAGGTGGGTGTCCTCTGACCTACTTACAGCTCCTTTATACACGACCCCCCCCCCCATTTTACCAATGGATGTTCTCTGGTCTCCACCCTTTCCAGGCCCTTGAAGCAGACTTGACACTGAAGAAGAGAGAGCAGGAGGCGTTCTTTAAAATGAGTGAAACATCTGATTGTCCAAATCCCAGCTCTCCCACCAAACTGTCAAAGTTTGTGCCTTACCAGGACGCTTTTAACACATAAAACAGAAGACGGCCGCTGTGATTTGTCTCCCACTTACTTACTTACACCCACTGACTCACCCATCATTACATTTTTCCACAGGCCTTACAGTAGTCTGCTGCTTCAGTTTAAACTGTACAGAGCCTGTAACTGCAGTTTGTTCTTCTGGTTTATTTTGGGATTCTCTTCTGTTTTGGTTTGCTCTAAATCACATGATTTTTATTTTTCGCCCTTTAAAGACAAACACAACATACAACTAAACAGCGGCAAGTCAATGTGGTGAGAGGGAAAAAAAATCAAGTTTTAATGAAAAAAAATCAGTTTCTGTCTGAAGCACACACAAAAAACCCAACAGAAGTCCGTGAGTCTGAAACGAAGCACTTTGTTTACCTGATCCATCAGTGCCGTCTTCCAAATGTGTGTGAAAAGGATCCATCAGTGCCGTCTTCCAAATGTGACCAAACTTAGAGCACCAGAACCAGGTCCTCTTCACTATCTCATCATATTGTGTTTATCCTTTAGTTTAGTTGCCAATATTTGTCTGTATTTATTTTACTGATAAGCGTGAAGCCTCGTCACTGTAAAAGCTAATTTAAACGCCTTTGTCATTTAAGAAACACAACAATGATTTGAAGGATGTTTTTATTTTCTCCAATATATGTGAGCTCATTTGAATGTTTTTGGGGGAGTTGAGACTTTATCCTAGATATATCCAAAATATTTTAATTAATTCTTCATTTCTTTTTATGATTATAAAGCAGTTATTTTTTAATTACAAAAAAGACTAAAATTTACTTTACGTAGTTTTTATCTGGTGTCCTTTATGTTGCGTTTGTTTTTGTGTTCTTACTGTAAAATCAGTCACACTGGATGGGAACTGACGAAGCCAAAGTGTGTGTAACTGTCATGTTTATGAAGGATGCTTGAAGGGGAGTTGATTATAAATATGAAAAGGTATTACGTGTGTAATTACGCAGTAGGAACACTGCCTGCTAACCAACGTGCAATATTAGGTGTGTGTTTCTTGCTAATCTTTTTTTTCTCTTTTCGTTTGCCTTCGTTGCACTGAGAGGGAGGGTGTTAAAGACAGTGACTTTACAGAAAGATTCATCAAAACTATTCCATCCTCATATTGTTCTATTTTTTAAAAGCATTTTATTTGTTTATCATGTAATTTCTGCCTGCAGTTAGGTGTCTAATGTGACAAGTTCAACTTGCCTTGCCTTGGTTTGCAGTAGTGACCTGCAGAATCACGTGAAGTCAGGTCAGTTCCAGGTACAGTCTCCCTTCCTCCCCCCTCCCCCCCTCACACACTCTGTGTGGAGTATTTTAAGTTAATGTTTTCTGTTTTGTCATCAATGTTTTCCTTTCTGCCTCAGTTTATAGAAGGTGTTTAAAAAGCAGGCGGTGACCGGTGTGAGTGGAACTGTATCAGAAGGAACCACTGTTGTAAATAACTTCATAAATAAATGCAGATTTTCTAAAGGACTGAATGTTTCTCTGGCAGTTGACGATTACAGAGTGAATGTCAGGGAAGAGTGTGGTCAAACATGGACGTGATCCTAAAAACTAAACGCCCAGATGCAAACTATTTTTCCCCTCAGTGTTCAAATAACGACAGGTGTATTGACTGTGTAGAGCAATGTCAAGTGGATGGACGTGGATATACCGTGAGTGTCGTTATGCTTGAGTTAAAATCTGCATTTTTTTTTTCAAACTCCATTCAGACACCGTGACAGCCGATGTGAAAAATCAGAAACTTTTATTGACTCGTTTACAAGGAGACTCAACAACATATGATGTAAACACAGTTACAAGAATCGAACCCTTGGTTCACGGACTCCTTTTGTACTGATTGGTTTGGATTCCTGGTGTTTTATTTAATAACAATGTGATTGCGTTAAAAGAAAATGCTAATAGGTCGTCGGGTAAGTTTAAAGCGAATACAAGCAGAACAGCAGTTGCAGCTTGTAGCCTTGTCTGGTTGCGTCCAAAACAATGACAAATGTCACATGACCCAGTCTGATCTGTGACAAACATCAACCAGTGCCTTTGCTTTGTTTGTCTGTGGTGGACTGACTTTTTCTAAAGTGTCTCCTCTTGGTCTTGAGTTTAAAGCCTCACAGGTGGAGCATAAAAAAAAGCTCTGACAGTTCAAAAATGATCGTTATTACTGTACAATAAAAAATAATTTTGACTGTGCTTGAAACCAGTCAAGCACTAATGTAAAACTTTGATTTTTTTTTTATGATCATACTTTGCTGTTATTTAAGCACCAAAATGTCCAAACTGTACACTTAACAATACTGTAAATCATTGCACAAATCACTGCAGACCCTCCAGGTACAGATACTCTTCAGATTGGGGAATGTGAAACGACAAAACATTTTGACAAAAACGACTAACGCCTACCTTTATATTGGTAATTTCTATTACAATAGCATTTAAAAAAAAGAATAACACTTTAGTCAGTGAGATTTTAAGAACTCAAATGCACTGTGGCATTCATCTCCTCACTAAAGCAAGTGCAAACCATTTAACATCTGACATTAACTGAGAAAGTGCCCGTTTGTAACAGGTCACTGCAACATCGACAGGAAAAAGCATGAAAGATCGTCACAAACTGGTATAACAGACAACACTTTTATTTGGCGTGTGCTACAGTATGTGTTGGTTTCTTTTTGAAGGTGAACGTGGCCCAAATGTTGTTGTTTTTTTTGCTGGGTTTGTCCAGTTGAACATTTGATACCTGAACACTCCAAAGAAACAGGTGAATTTACCACTGGGCTGCATCCCATTTCTTTAACAAGAACTTTTGAGAACACTGTGTTTAATTAATAGTTGAAGTTGTTCATTAATTGGAAGGCAGCGTGCATAATTCTGATAACAAGGTCTGTAACGTTCGATGATCTGTGATCAGACCCTGAAGAATATCTACGGTGATAAACAGTTTGTGAAGCACTAAAGCACTTGGCGTATTGTTATATAGAGGCACAAAAACACAGAAGGCAAAGACACGGCCTTTGTAGTGGCAGGACTGGCACAGGTGACGACCAGCACGTGGCACTTCAACCCAAATTGACATAAAGAATAAAAAAAACAAGGACAAGTAAACGCCACAGGCCGCCGAGAGCCTGCGTTATTGCTGGTTCAGTTTAGGTAGAACATCCTCACAAAAAGTAAACATAACAAATGTGTCAATTGAAAAAAAAAGTACCTATAAATAAAAAAAAAACTGCTAACAAGCTACAGAGTTATTTACTATTATTTATATGGTGATTGTTGTGAACGCGCGTTCACACTAAGGTTTCTTGCTCAGGAAGTTGGAGGGGATCCAGCCCTCCACTTCCTCACCTACATTCTTACAGAACCACCAGCCGCTGCTGCTCTTCTCCAGCACCTCGAACACGGTGCCCAGTTTGAAGCTGGACGTTTGTTCGTCGCCTTCGAAGTCGGCCACGGCCAGGTACAGCTCGTCTTTACTGGGCTCCTTCACCAGAGGTGGGAGCTTGTCCTTGGGTGGACCAGGTTTCTCGCTCTTTACCTGGGGCTTTGGAGGGATCGGTACTTTATTGGCCTTGGGTTCTTCTTTCTCTTTGTTCACAGGAGGCGGAGTAAAGCCCTTGGGTTTCGGAGGAGGGGGTCTGTTGAGCTGGGGGGGTCCTTTGAGCTCAGTTGGAGTCGACGGGTCAGTCTTCTTGGGAGGAGGCGGTCTTCTCGGAACCATGGTAGGAGGTCTCTGTGGGGGTTCCTTGTGGGGTGGAACTTCCCGTTTTCCAGGAGGAGAAGAGTTATCCTGACTGTTGTGGCCGTTTACATTCTTGGGAGGGAACTTTGGCTCGTTGTTAAGACCCTGGAATGGAGCAGAAGGGGCACCGGGTGTAGAACTCGGGTGGGAATTATTCATGGCTGCTGAGGTTCCATTCTGATGGTTCACCTCAGCGGAGGCAGAGCTGAGATCTGCAGGTTTCGAAGGCCTCAGTTTGCTTCTCAGGTTGGTGATGTCTAGTTTGTCCTCTGCTGGCGGATCAGGCTTAGCAGCGGGGACGGGTTTAGGTCTTAGAACTGGTTTGGGCTTGGTGAGCACGGAGGGACCAGGGGGCTCTGGTTTTTCCTCCTGCACCTCTGGTTTAGGTTTGGGTGGATGTTTAGGCACAGGTTTCAGATTGAACTTCTTCACCTCTTTGGCAGAGATCTTGTGTCCACATTCAAGACCCATCTCATTACGTAGGTGAAGAGGTTTGTTCTTGTCGTCCTTCTTCGTCTCCGGGGGTTTTTCAGACTTAAATGGAACCGGTTTGGGTGTAACCAGCGGCATGATGACACCAGGTGCCGGAGGCTTGGGAGGCAGGGGCTTGGTGTGATCAGGTCTGGTCTTCTCAGCTACCTCTAGTTCAAAGCTCTTGTTAATAGATTCCCTCCTGGGTGGTAACGCTGGCTTCTCTTCAGCTGGTGGAGCAGCTGGGGCTGGAGGCAGAGGCCCGGGGAATGCAGGCCCCGCCTTGTTGACTCCAGACTTCCAGTCTCTCAGCTTAGGGCGAGTACATGACTCCGGGGCCGTGGGCGGCTCATCTGGTAAAGGCTTAGACCAGCTGTTATCTGTGCCAGAGAAACCAGCGTCCTCCAGTCTCAGCTTCTCCATCTCATTGGGCAGCGGGGCGAGAAAATTAGGTCTCAGGGCGTTGCTGGTCTTCTTGTACTTGTCAATGAATGTGGCCGGTGCCCAGCCTTCCTTGTCATCTATCTGGATGTACCACCAGCCACTACCGTTCTTCTCAATCACCTGGTGGATAAAATGAGAAGTTCTCATTCTACTACAACTGTGTGTATTTACATCCACAAACTGATATGCCAACAATTTAACTCAAATCATTTAAACTTTGTAAGTGTTTTGTTTACCTCAACTTTAAGGCCAGCCTGGAAGCTAATACCATCAGGTATCGTGGTCTGGAAATCTGCTATGGTGTAAAACTCCTCCTCCACCTGGGGAGGAACAGGAGGCTTGGGTAGGTTTGTCCCGCGGGGCTGTGGGGTGAGAGAAGAAAAACATGATCACACAGTAGATCTTGATGACAAGCTGATGGCTGAGAGAACACAGTGAGAAGTTTGATCTTACAATGGTCAGATCTCTGCGGGGCGGAGGTCTGTGTCTCGATCCCACTTCTGTGGAGACGTAAAGAGAGGAAGTGTGGGCAAAGCAGCAGTGTAAAAAATGTTGAAGCCGTTCTAAAATTTGCAAGGTATGTATGAGACTCAAAGATGTAATATGGGGCAGATTGCTCAAGGAATTGAACAAAAAACATTTTAAGTGATTCAGTGATGCTGCACTTCTTTGTAAAAAAAAATATATATATAATCATGACCAGTAGGTGACAGTGTTGCATGTCAAAGTCTGCCAGCTGAACCTAAAGAACAGAAGTAGAAGTTAGCAGTTAGCAGTTACCTGGACCAGGCCTTGGAGGAGTCTGACTAGTGTGAGTAGAACATGGAGGGTTAGGGTTGGATGAAGATGCAAAAGCATGGAATGTTGGTTTATCTTCCAAGAAAGGTTTTGACCAAGTAACTAATAATAATGTTGTATTAGTGCAGAGACTCAAATAGATTATCCTGACAAAGTATGGAAACTTGTTTTAAAAACCTATAAGTCCTCAGTCAGAGCTAAGGTGAATTCCCTCACTTTTGTTGTCAGAGAAAAAGGAGAGTCTGTTCTCCTTCTGACTGTTTTCTCGGTTCTCCCTCGCTGCATTGTTTTGCTGATGTTTGGAAAACCCGTCCAGGTCGTTTGTACTGGCGAAGGCAGCGGCTCCTGCTGACTGCTTCTGGCTCTGAATGTCTGCCTTCTTTAAGTAAGAGGCCGGGGCCCAGCCCTCACGACCCTGGTACCTGAGTGAAGAGGAAACACACAGCGACTGATGAACGATCTGCCTCCCCCGCCCCTCAACTTTAAAACCCCCAGAGTGAGACGTTGATGTCACTGAACTAAATTACCTGATCTTCCACCATCCCTCCAAATTCTTCTGGATCACCTCCACGATCATGCCCCGCTCCAGGTCAATCTCATCCTCGTCTCTGGCAGAGTACGGGTAAATCACTGAGTACTTCTCTTCTGGAGTCCAGGAAAAAAACAAAAACAAAGTTAGACCGGGAAAATAAAGTCAGCTCTGAAAAACACTGACGTAAAGAGAACAAAAAAATGAAAACTGATTCTCGTCCGTCACAATTCTCTCCCTCTTCGATTTGACTGATGACATAATTAAAACACCGGTAGATCAGGCAAGGCTTGAGCAGCATCATGGGAGGGTGAAGATGTAAAACAGACACGAAACACACAAACATCCTCCTCAAAATAAACCACAACCAGAAAACATGTTATTGTAATTAAAAGTTCTACTTTCTACCACAGAGATGTAAAAACGACTGTGTTGACATGTGGACAACTCTAAAAGAACTCTAAAAGAATGTTGATTATTTTGAAATTATACAAATTACACAAAGAATTGTTTTAAGAGATGAAGACACAACAAAACAACCTTGGCATGCGAGGGTTTAATGTTCATGCTCGGGTGTCACATGCAGCAAATATATCATGCCCACTCACACACACACACACACACACACACACACACATGTATGCACATACACGCACATTAAGACAAAAAGGGGGGAAGAAAGGCGTGCGCTCCACCTTGCCCAAAGCCTGTGCTGAACAGATCCCCTAAAGTTCTGCGACGACCCACGTGCCGCGGCAGTGACCAGAATCTCCGAGGCACTGATGCCAGCACAGTTTGTGGGGCAGAATAGGAAGTGAACATTACATGTGTCATCTTGGTGATCTGCTCATCCCATTTTAAACATTACAGTTAAATATTTTTCAAGTGAGTAAACAAAATTTTAAAGAAAAAAAATGTGATGTGACTAAATGTAAGATCTGAGTGGCAGCAGATAACTCTGCTTCTATTTTTACACCTCTTCTAAGGCTCTCCAAGACTGAAATTATGGTCTGGTTATTTGCATAATGGCTGCGCGACCTTGAGGTCAACCATATGCTGCCGCATAATTTTCATATCATTCATTTTTATATTAGTTTCTTGAATCTGTCCTGCAGAGGAAATGTTATCTACCTCATTAATGTTCTGCAGTTAAAAGTATCTACTTTATATTCTAACAAAAAAAAGAAGAAAAAGAATTGCATGTTGAACAGAATTTTATTTCTTTATTTACCTTCTTCCCCAGGGATACTGAAGTCATCAGGGTCATCCTGGGCCTCGAGGCAGGTGGCAGGGACCCAGCCCTGGGCGTCCTCTGAGCTGACGAACCACCAGCCTGAAGGTAAACAGTGACATAATACATGTAATGAGTACAGGTCCACAGTTACTGTGGTCAAGGACAATCATGGTGTTTTGATGGTCTGTCTGTCCATTGGTAATGAATTTATTTTGAAGGCCAAGTCCGTTTTCAAACTTGTTTGTCACTTAATTTAGTCAGTAGAACTGTTTTTATTTTAATAAGTAATAATAATTATGTCACGCAATATAAGAATTATTTTTGTTGACCTAATTTAAATTAGTCGCCCCACATGACTTCCTGGTTGTTGGCCGATGGTCATTGATTGTTCGTTGTTGGTTTGCTGTAAATCCAACTATCAGGCTTTAACATTGTTTTGAATGAATTAAGACTTTGTGATAAAGTTAGGAGTTTCAAGTATAAAATTTAAGTCTGAACTTAAAAAAACAAGAAAACCCTGAAGAATGCTCTATCAGACCGTACCAGACTCGTTCTTCTCGATGACCTCCACCACCTGACCCACGTGCAGGCTGATCTCAGAGCTCTCTTGTTTTTCATAGTCAGTTACTGCCACATACTGGTCAAGCAGCAAAGGGTCCGCTGCGGTGGAATCTCCTGTTAGGGATTGAGAAGTTCGTACAAACTTAATCATCTCTTTGTTTCCGTCTCTACTCTCAGACAAACCACAGTTGAATTCCTCATACAGTAGAAAAGCCTCCCATGGTTCAAACAAATGGGATTTAAATAGGTTGTCCATAAATGAAGAAAAGACAAAACGTTTAACATGAGTAAATGAGAGGCTTTTCTACAGCACAGAGATTCAGCTGTACACTAATCAGTGGAGTTAAAGGATGTGATTAAAGACACAGCGTGAAAAAGACAGAGACAGTGAACAGAGGACGTTCAAGACAGGGATCAAAAATGTTAAAAACAAACGGCTTTCATTAGGTAAATTATCAACATGACCATGATTTGAACAGAGACGGAAACCAGCACCAACAAGACCCAGCACCAACGTTAGGACCAAGCCATCCACAGTGATGTTAACATTTACCACAAGAGGGCTCCCCATAAAAGCCACAACAGCACCTTTCACAGGGAAGTGCAGCTATGAAAGGTAAATCTAAATCAACTTCTAATATAAACGCCCAATCCTAATAATATACTGTAGGTTCTAAGTCTACATGGTAAATCTCTGGTCGTTATTCTTTGACTTATTCAAGCCAACAAAATCTACACCAAAATGTAAAAAAATCATCACCAAAATACTGTAGTTCATTAAACCTTAATGAAACCAATGCAAGCCCCCAGGTCTTCAACAAAGCCACGTCCCACCTGACCAAGCCAGGGGAGGAGAGGGGGAGGCAGACCGCTAGCAGCCTGCAGGGTGACACACACAGCATGACCAACCATGACAGTGCATTTACTACCTCGCTTTAGGAAAGTAGACGCTCTCTCCACCAACCCTGATGGAAAGGAAAATGAATGGAGAAGAAAACTGAAACAAATGACATGGATGCAACTTAAGGATATTAGATGAGTACGGAGAGGATGGAAATGATGATGATGATGATGATGATGAAGGATAAATATGAGACACTGTAATGGACTGTCGGTACGCTCTTGTTATAAAAAAAATGAAGCTTTTGATGGACTTTCTTTTCTTACCTGTTATAACTTCAGTGGCCGCTAGGTGGCGATAACGCCATGTTATCTACTACAGATCTTATCTGCCATTGTGTACCATCACATCACAAATTCCAATTTAAAAAAAACTAAGGAAAAAAAACCGTCATCTTACCGGTTTTCTTCTTTCCAACAGGTTCCCTGAGAATCAAAGGAAATCATCACATTAGAAACAGAAGGTAAGAACAAAACGAAAGGTCCATAACAATAAACACTAACGGTGTCACTTCTACGAGCCTTAAAATATAAACATGAACTAGCAGCATTTATTCAAACCATAAACATTTCTGCTGTGTTTTTTTCTGTTTGCTAACCTTAGCCAATCAGAGTAAAGGCGTCTTAATGATTGAATCTTCCCCCCCCCCCCCCCCCCACACACACACACACACACACCCCACCCAATCCATCTCAGCCGCTCTGCTCTTTAAACATCGTTCCATTCTTTTATGGCCTTCTATCATTTTCCTTTTTTCATCTCATCTCTCTTCACCTGTTTTTTTTTTCTTAAATCCCTCTGCTCATTTCCTCTGCAGCTTGTTTCCTCACATTATACCATAAATGATCTCAGCTACATAAAAGCCTTGTTCGCAGCTGTTAATTGTCTGAGTCTTGGGGTCGCAATTTATCTTTTAACCATAAGCAAATCCATTAACACGGGATAATAATCTCTGTCTGCCTGGAATTACAATAGGAGTGATGTCTGTACCAGCTCCACCCAAAGACTGACCCGAGGACTGACCGCCAAAACACTGCTTTAATATTATATTCTGATTCTTCAGGCTTGGAGTGAGATTTGGGAACAGGATCAGTGATCAGGGCTTTTTCCCCAAAATGCAGTACAAATGTCTGTGTTCTGAAATCCTGAATCCCTTTCTTAAAGCTAAGCACTGATCACTTATTTCAGTTGTTCTCAAAGTTGGGGGTGCGGTTCTGCAAGAGGACATAGAACTATCTTAAGGGGGAGCAGCAAAGCAACTATGTTGTTGCTTTTGCTTCCACAGTTCTTCCACAGTGGGTAGTTTGCTCTGATTTGTATTTTTTTTTTTTTTTTTTTTGTATTTTAACTCCTTCAACTTCACTTTGTAGAAACTGAGGTTGTGGAGAAGTACAGAAATCCACATCAGGAAATCATTGTGGTGGCCATATGGCAGCCAGTGACATGACGGATGGAAGAGGAAGCTGTTACTGCAAAAACATTTGGTGGAGACACCGGCGGTTTTCATGTTACAGATAAGAAATATTAAAATGTGACATCCATCAGTGCATTTATTACCAGTGCTCATATTCAGACGGAGTCAATGACAACTTTTTTTACCTCCGATATCAAACTTCTCTGTGACTCGTAGAAAGTTTGGATCGTGCTTTCAACACTGGTTTGAACTATTGCCTTGACTTCTGTCTCTTATTTTTTGTGCCCCATATTCTGTACCCCCAGCCCCTTTTTTCCCCTCACAGTATGAGTATTGTAAACTTCCTCTTTTTTCAACACCTTTCCTCTTCTACTCAGATTTCTCTGCTTCTCTCTCACTTCCTTTTCACTGCTATGTTTATGTCTAACTTTGCAGTTGTTGTTTTTTTAAGACAAGAAAACCACTGCGTGTCTATCAGTGCAGAATTTTATAGGTCATGATAAATCTTCTCTGTAGCTCGATGTGTTTGCAGCCCGTGTTGTCAGTCAGCCAAACAGCAGGCTGCACTAACAGAGGAGAGCTAATCCAATTTTAATAAAGACGAACCAAGGTTTTCTGAGGAGGCGGGGGGAGGGAGAGAGAAGCCCAGAGAACAGACTCATCTCTGTATACAAAGTGCCAGCCTTTGGTGCAGCCTTGGCAAACTATGGCTCGTGGGCCAGATACAGCCCACTGGGTTGTCTGATCTGGCCCAGCGAACACTAGCAAAAGGCATGGTTCAGATTGATGTCAATCCTTCTGTTTTATGCTTTACAACATATCGACTGGTATGAAATGTGCCCGTCTGACTTTGAATTAATCCTACTTATAATTTTTTAAGGCCTTTTTTCCTTATAAGGAGACATAACTTTTCTGCTAGGGTTTGTCAAACAGCAGTGATCAACTAATGTTCCTCAACTTAAAGCAACTTCTTAATGGTGAGTGCTATAACCATGTGATGACAAAGGGTTTTAAACTAATGCCTCAGCTTAAAGCTGTTGGTACAAAAACCACCTGTAGTGTTAAAAAGTGAGTGAAGGATTGTGGTTTGTTTGGAATCAGCCACTTATAACCTTTTCTGCCCTCAGGGTGGTAGCTACTGTTACAATAACACACATGCATAAAAAAAGGCCTGGGTGAGAAGCTCTATGTCTCAGCACATGCTTCTTGATGTCGTAGTAACTGTGGTTTACAAAACAGCTGAGCTAGAACTTTGTTGTTGTACTTCTGCTGTAGCCTTAAAGCAAACTTTGCAATTAAATTGTCCGCTAAACTGATTTGGTTAAAGACAAACTGCTGAAATTCATTAGAATTCTGACAGTTAAACTGCACTGAGGACCATTCACTGGAGGTGATCTGTGTTGTACTTACTCTTTGGGAGGGTTGAGGTCCTCGGGTCTGGTCTCAAAAAATACTCTGACCTCCTCACACTGAGAGATGTAGACTGGGAGTTGAATGAGAGCCTGCAGCCAGGGTAAAAAGCAAATGGAATTTTTTTTAAAACAATTTCAGTCAAACAATGGATGCATGTTGTGTAAAGTGTGTGTATAGACATCATAACGTCACAGTGGTAACATTATAATTTAAGAATGTGATAGATGGGCAGAACAGGTAATTACTTTTCCACTAGGTGGCAGCAGATGGCTATAAATACTTGAAAATGAGAGACTTTGAGCCATTAAAGAAGATCTTCATTTGTGACTTTCTTTAATTCCTGCCAGTATATCAACCATGTGTTGAACTAAACAGGCCAAGGGTTCACACTGCGTACGTGAATTAAAACTTGAAGATCATTATGTTAGACACACAGACATAGTTTTGTGTAGTGGTGCCTGTCGGATTTTTCTAATGTAAAACGCACTGTGGCTTCAAAAAGATTGGGAAACACTGCTCTACTGTAGTAATCCAAGTCATAGTACTCAGAAACACGGTTTGTACTGATCTGATAACAAGCAATAACATTAGATGTTTTGGTTAGGAAATGGAAAATAAAAAAAATGTTTTTAATACCAATAACTTGTGGTTAGTGTGTGTAGTGCCCTTGTGCTTGCAGCGGTCATATGCATAAACCAACGTCAGGTAATTGAAGTTAAGGCCCGGAATATTCCTCTGGATCTATTGAAATTCCATAAGAAATCGGTGTCTCTAACCCACGCAGCGGCATGTTTTGAGTTGAACTCAGTTCTTTGGTAAATTCCACCGTCTTTTATCTTGGGCTTCTGTGGAAGATCACCTGCAGGAGAGAGATGGACTCTGACAACAGGACCGGAGATAAAAGACTTCCTGTTTTCTCTCCATCCGTCTGTTATCTCTACTTTACTCATTCATTCTCTCTCTCTCTCTCTCACACACACACCGAAACAAAGTCATGTTTTTGCTCTGTTTCATTCTTCAGACTTTAGGAGCCTGCGTTTCCTCCAAGTCTGATTTTTCTTCTCCTTTAACCAAACTCTTGAAGGGCAGCACTTTTACAGATTCTCAGCTGGAACTCCCCTCAAACAAAGGACAGATTAACTGCTGCCAATGACCATGTGGTGACTGACTATCTTTCTCACTGATCAGGGCGCTAAGCCACTCCTCCCTTCATTTGCTGGCAGGCAAAAGCTCAACTCTATCCATCAAGCTTCAACTGCTGGCCTCCAGCTCTGATTTTAATACCTCTAAGTGTTTCACTTCTGTCCTTTGAGTTAGCAAAGTCTCCTGTCTCCTTTTCTGCACTCGCTGACACGCCGTGATGTAACATCAGAACTGATGGATAGGAAATGAAAGCAAAAGCAAAGTGTCCTTGGTCACATCTGCGTTGTCATTCCTGTGCGTATGAGTCCCTGCCAACAGTTATAGTTTTGAAAGAAAATGTTGGACCACTGCCATGGACACAGGGATTTACATAGACGCACTCCCATAAAGCAAACGTCTGTGTTTGTTTAATTCATGACAAACAAGACTGAAATCTAAGAGTAGTTGGATCTGATTCTGAGACACTGAACTACAGTAGTAACCTGTAGGAGGGTTTTACAGGTGACCTCTAGAAGAACCACCACAGTAAGCAGTCCCGCAGTACTGAACAACGCACTGGTCCGAGGTCAGAGAACTGGCTTCGCTCTCCTTGGATTTATTTCTCTCCTTGTGTCAGCCTGTGGGCCGACCGCTCATTACGATTCTCTCCAGGGACGAGACAGAAGGGAGGCTCTGGGTACATTACAGCAAATGGACTTTATGGGTCTTCTTTACGGCAGGCACCATTAAGGTAATTGTGTGTGTGTGTGTGTGTGTGTCAGTTCTCTAGAAAGCAAAATCACATTCAGATAAAGCAATGCTTCTCAAACAGTGGGACGGGGGTCAGTGGGTGGCTTCAGCAGGTATCTACAGAAAAAAATATGTTTTTCCAAATCATGAAAGTCATGGATCGAGCTACGTATCATACATTTTTAGAAAAAAAAAAAAACTCAATTCTTCAGCACTTTATCTACTGCGTATAATACTTTGCTGAAACCTTAACATGTCATTACTGCACAGTTAAAATCTGTAAGATTTATCTTCTTCTGCTTTGTCTTGATCAATAGTGTCCAAACATTTTCTGATATTTTTCCACAGCTAAATGTTCTTTTAGAAGCTTCAACTGATTCAAACCAACTTGGTCTGAATCAGATCACATTTTAAACAGCGTTCATACAGTGTTTATTTGCTCAGAGAGCTCTTGTAGTTTTTCCTTCAACTTTATGGGACAGGGTCGGGCTGACCTACTTTTGTTACCTAGTGAACTTTTAGAAGTGTTGTTTTCCATCAAGCTGTACAGCACAAGTTACTTCAAGTGCCACATATCTTAGCTCAGCAGTCCTGATCCTGCTTTATAAACACGATTCCCAAACAATATTTTTCTCCCCTCGCCCTCTTTCTATATCCAAATGTTTTCCCTGACATGAAAGAAAAAACAAGACCTCTTAAGAACCGGGGGAAATTCCCAAGATTTGGGGGTAAAACCTTGGCCACTGGGCCAAAATGCTGACTCAGCATTCCCACGAAAAACAACTCTCAAGTTTTTACCTCGTACGCCTGACCGCGTGCAGCGGTAGATGCACAGTGTGCACGTTTTGTGTCAGGATCTGTTTCAGCACATACTGCGAGGCCCATTATCTGCTGCCAGAGCCGACTTGTCAGGTCGCAAGGCTTTATATCTTCCCACATTATCAGTGGTAGACGTGCTGTTGATGTGTGAGGGAGGATCTGGTGCTGAATGATGACTTGTTAAAGTAAGGGAATTTTCAGCACATACATCTGAGGTGACTTAAAAAAAACAAACAACAAAATGTTCTTTATACCAGCTGTACATTCTTTCCAACTCAAAGTGAAGATACTGCATATAAATCCTCCCCCATCACTCTGAGGCCTAGTAAAAATAACATTCTCTACTCAGTTACAAATGGTTAAAGATACCGCTTTTCATGGGGCTCTTTAAAAGACAAAAGAATCTACAGGAGAAAATACAAGAAGCCATTACTAGGCACTGACTAAGTAAAAAGTAACTCGTAAAAAACATCCCCTTTGGACAAAGACGAGGAGGAGGGGGGGGGGCTGGGTGCTGGTTCAGAGGCCCTTTAAGGTGACGATGCAGTATTGAATAAAAACATAGTTGTATGGCTGTGTATGTGCTGACTGGAACAAAGACAGAAGGCTCCACCTTTGGCACAGATACTGACAGTAACCACCAAAACACAAGACACAACAACAACAACAACCACAGCATTCACATTCCATGTTTTGGACACGTAACCACTCTGGTAAAAAGAAAACAACACCATAAGATGATAGCTGCAATATTTTGTTGTTGTTGTTAAACAATTTAAATAATTATTCAAACTGCTTACAAACTGTTTTATCGACAAATTTTATTATTATTATTTATTGTTAGCATAAAACTTAGGATATTAGAAATAACCCTGTCCTGGATGGTGACAGTAGAAACAGTGGAATATTCGGGTGTAAACACTTTAACATTTTCTCTTGTCCTCAACAGATTGCGCTCTTATAAACTCCTCGTCCCGTGAGAGCAATTATACTTCAGTTTCGTCCTTCTGCTCACAGGTCAGAGCCCACAACAGAGCATCTGGGGAGCTTTTAGAATACCTTAGCAGGGAGTCATGCCTGCTGGCACACAGGTTTGCTGCAGGAAGTTCAGTGTCACAGCTACAGTGTCATTTTGGTAGACAAGAACACACCTGTGAAAGTGTGAGCACAAAGATAGTGGAATGGAACTGGAGGAGTTCAATACATGTAACAAGAAGTAATATTTATATGTAAAAATGTTCTCCCTGCCTGCCCATGAAAATGGTGTCCTTCTGTATTAAGGTCACTAGTTTGAAGATTGTGTTTCTACAAAACTAAGACGGTAAAATCATGACCACAAGGGAATAGAAAGAGAACATAGAAGCAGAAAATAAGCCGAGGAAAATATCACTCCCGCTGACTGTTGGATTGTTTGAAAAGTCCATGTGTCACTGACAATAACTTTATCACTGTCACAAAGTTGTTGGTGTTCCCAACACCGTGTCTTTGGTGTTGCTGCCAGAATCAGATACACGCAGTGGCTGATCAAATTTCACCTCCCATGTCTAATTTCACTGAATTTAATTTACCAGGGAATCTTTTTTCATTTTGTACTAAGACTGGCACGGCTAGAACAATATTATTGGTCAGTGAACTCACCCTGCAGTACTCGTTGATAGGCCGAAGCCTTTTCATGGCCACATCTCGAATATGGCTCCTTCTAAACAGGATCTTTCCTGGAATGAAAGGAAACAGACATACAGTAATTATAAATGATAGAAAATACTGCTGGAAAATTACAACAGATCTGACGGTCAGGACATTGGCTATAACTTAACACTAGATTGAAATGAATACTAATGTGTTTTTTCCTTTGGATATTTGCAGTATTAAAGGCAACATTTCAAAAGTTATGGTTCAATTTAAGGGCCTTTAGGACACTGGCTTTCAGACATTGTTAGCAAATTAGCATGCCGCCACATGCACGTGGACTGGCATCATCAATAACACTGACAGCGCGCCGAGGTTGGTAAGGAGGTAGGTGAAAAGCTGGCCTTTCCAAGTCATGAATATATGCTTTTGAAAAAGCACATTACGTCTACGTGGCACGTTAAATGCTACTTCCCCTGTTCTTACCTCCAGGCACAAACACCCACGGTCACAGACAAACTGCGCAGTCATAACAATAACAAGAATCGGCTACAAATAGGGCACTCTAAAACACTCTTCTAACTTATTGGTATGCAGGGAACTTTGGAGCCAGCGTGTATTTTCTGCTCCTGTTGGCTGCTGCTGAAGTTGCTCTGAATAATTCACTGGCTGAAACAGCTACGACCCAGACATACAGTTTTAATACAAGAGGAAGTGGGATACGAAACATGAAACTGAAGCAGAAAGTAACGTGTTTTTACAAAGGTTACCGTATCACCTACATCAAGGCGTGTTTTTTTAGTGCTCAGTAAAGCAGACTTGCAGAAACATGAATCGTATAGAACAAGACCACTGAGGGACAGTCAGGTCCACAGCTGCACTCTTTTACCTGGGTTGCTAAAATGTACTTTTACTTTACTTTTTTTCTGCTTCCTCTGCCCACACAGCTCCAAACCACGTGTCTGTAGTAGGTGCATGTGTTTAGGTTAAATGTAAAAACATGAAGAGACTCTTTGTTGGTAATTGATAAGGAAATAAAGCCATGAAGCAGACCTGAACCAACCTCCCCAGATCACCGTAACTATAACATACAGCCATGTTTACAGTTGATACGGTAAAACTCACTAGCATTTCAGGTCAAACTAATGTGAATAGAGAATTCCTCCCTCTGGAAGTCATGTGACTCTATTGTAATGGAACTAATGGCAGTGGGAGGGAGGTGACAGACCTCCACTTTCAGGTGTAAAAACTTTACATAACAAAGGGGGAGGTTCTGAGACAACGCTGTCCTTTAATCTCTTTACTTCAGCATTGTGAGGTGCCATCTGAGTCACATGACAACAAAGCCGTCCCTTGACTTCAAAAAAACCCCAATAACTGAGTCAGTGACTGTTGTTGTGTTACAACAACAGGTAAATATCCTCCTACCATGAGTCGAATGTCAAATTTCTATTCCTCAACCTTTTTGCTCATTGTTTTACTTTCAATGTCTGGAGCCAATAACCGGTGCACCTTTATATATTATTGCCTTATAGCAGTGGTTCTCAAACTGTGGTACGTGTACCACCAATGGTACACGAGCACTCTCTAGTGGTACGTGGGTAAAATTAATATTTTTTATATTTACATTTTCAATTGAATAAATCTGAAACATACCATTCACAATTAATACAACATTTAAGCATAAACATCTTTATAAACATTTATAAACATCTCTCCTGTGTGGTGGAAGCTAACAGTGAAGGCCTATGCTGCTGACTTCTAATGTTGGTCAACATGGTGGTACTCAGAGAGATCCATGTTTTCTCAGATGTTACAGAGTACAAAACATTCGAGAACCACTGCACTTATGGTGATTTTCCCTCCAGTGTAAACAGCGACCTCTACAGGTTCTCTTTCCTTGTACACCCTGGTTAGTTCATTAAGATCATCAGAGAATGAGTCGTATCTACTTCTTTTCTTTATTTTTGCAAAAACTGTAGTTCAGTCCACTGAGCAGAATACTGACTAAATGAGATTGATTCTAGAAAAAATGAAAATGGAAAGTACAGTTCCTGACGTTGGCAAAAAAGCCAAAAAGACAGTGTCTGGACAGTTTCCGAAAGCCAAAGTTTTGAAAGTCAACCCTCGGACAAACTCTTTTTTTTCCCCCCTTGCTATTCATTTCTTTCAGCCTCTCCTTCTCTCTTCCAACAGAAAGCTTTCTTGATGGTTTTCCAATGCTCTCTGGGGTCAGACAAGCAGCACTGACTCAACACTGCCCACTCTGTATGCACAGCAACTCACGAGTGCAGCCTATGAAAAGGGCTTGTTTAGGGAGCAAGGAGAAGGAGTGGAAAGTGAAGTCGTGGCTCAGGCAGGACTGACTTTATGACCAAAGCAGTGACCAATAGCATCAAGCAAACTCAAGTTTCCTGCCTGGGTAAAAATATAGAGAGCTAGCAGGATGGAGGAGGAAGATATAGATGGAAACACAGTGAGCCTTTCTGTGACATGACGTACACACAGGAAGATCCCCTTAGACTCATCTCAAATGAATTGTGGTAGACGGGAAGTTGCCACGCAGTCCTGATTAATGCTGAGTGAATATTCCAATTTAGACAAGAAAGATAACATGTGTTTCTACTACCTAAAAGTCAAATGGTAAACACAACCTTTAAAGCTGCTGTCAAAGTCAGCGCTTTGATGGAGCAACATATGCAGCATATTCAAGTAGACAAGAGCTCTGATTGTTGTTCCCTGCAGACAAGAGATGAACGTGATATGAATGAGATGAGGTCATTTCTCCGGGTTTGGATTTTCAGACTTCTCTGCTCATCATCAGCAACCATCAAAAAAGTCTTCCATATGAATGCAAAGTATTTTGGATTATTACAGGCCAACTACATTAGCTGAGTTATTAGTGAGGATCATCACTTTTAGACTTTATCATTTTATAGTGTAAGCCCAGCAACAAAACAGTGTGCTGTCTGGAGTGAGTGAGAGATGATTGACAGCTCTTCTTAAAGCAGTAGGTGGCACTATAATATGAAATATTAACTATAAGAGTTGCTTACTGGTATATTCTCAAAATGATAAATGTATGCCTGTTTAGTATTAAATATGGTTTTCCATTTTTATATGTGAATTTCTTTCAAATAATATCCCTACGTAACTTAGAATATTTGTTTGTATACTTTCTATATTGAGATTTAAAGATTTAAAGCTTCACTTTTATTTGAATCAGTATCTTAAGGCAAAGAAAGAAGTTAAGGAATAAAAATACTTGACTTGACGAAAGTATCCTGAACAACCTCTGTGACTTTAAGAATGAAGCCAATGTTAAATGCAGCTGTCAAGTTTGCAGCATGTAGACCTGGCAAAACTATGCACTGAACCACTTTGCTGATGAGAAGAAGACAACGGAGGAGTAAAAACATCTTGAGGACATAAATATATCAAGTGAAATAGAGGGAACCACTTCTGTGCATGGTGAGGTTGGCTTCAGCCCACTGTCTAGACCTGAGCTCTGGGAGTGAATTATTTTCTTGGCTGCTCTGCTGACAAGAAAAATGTTACCTTGGAATCCTACTAATAGAGAACCAAAAATTACATGACCTGGAATCTAGTCAAAGGAGACAAAATATTTGATTCATGTGTTAAGAAAAAACCCAAAACACTGTCCCACAACAGCTCCACGGTGGCATTTCTACTGGGAGCAATGAAAAGTTTGCACAACCTCTAGTGATTGTGTTAGTGATTTAGTAGCTTGATGGGTGCAATTGGGGATTAAGTGCATTCCCTGGGGCAAATGAATGTAATTTACTGAGTTGTATTTATTTTCTACGACACAGAAAGAGCCAACACTTAAGATTGTTAGATGCTAGGAGGAGAGAGTGTTGTAAATCAGATGGTGAGTAAACAGTAAATACCCTTGTGTGCACAGAAAAAAGCATATGTTTATTTAACCAATTTGAGCTCACAACGGTACTGCTAAGACTGTAAGAAGTACACACTAAAGTCATCAATATTTCTTTAGGGTTCAATCAATATCCAACGTACTCCAAAGCTGGTAACTAGAAGATGGTTCACCCATTCATCCATGAGGCGTCTTCAATTCTTGGAAAAGTTGACTGCTGGAAATAAATCTGATATTTAGCCTCTGAGTGGCTGAATACCTGAAGGAAGTGATTATAGCAAACCACGACCTCTGACCCAAAGTCAGACATTTGTGATCCGAGAACAGTTCAGTGCGATTGACTTCTACTTTTAAGGTAATAAACTGTTCTATTCTATTCTATTCATCACGAGAGTGTGTTCTTAGTTACAGCATGTTCACTGCGACCTGGACTGACACTGCCTGTTTGAGAATATGTGTATATTCACTTAATTAGTTCCAGACCTAGATGGCCACAAAAAGTAAATCCACACCCCACCCTTCCCAAGTCTGGTTGGAGGAGGGGGAATTAGTGTCTTTAGAGTGAGGTTTTTTTTTTAACTATTCAGCAAAATCAAAAACTGAAACAAAATCTTAAATTGCTCAATTGGATAATAAAGCCCTTATTTTAAACAACAGAGCAGGAAGTACAACAACAAACTCAATAAAGCTCTAAATGAATAAAAGCAAACTTTCCACAGATTTCCCATAAGCTGAAACAATAGCAACTGCCTCAAACAAAGGCTTTAATCCCAATCTGGTACACGCCAAGTCAAACACCAGATGACTATGGGTCTGGAGCATTTGAGGAGAACTCAGCTGAATCAGCTAGATGTTTCAATAACAGATGGGGAAACATCACGCCTGGTTCACAGAACAGTGAAATTACTGATTGCGGTGGCTTCACATAATTGTACTGGGTTACTGTGTGTCTGCTCTGGTCTCCTCCCACTCTGTGAACCACCGCTGTCCACATGTGAAGATAGAGTGTGTGCATTAGTGCTTCTTGTTGTGACAAGAGGAACGAGGAAGTGCATTTGGCAAAGAGGAATGAAATGGATAGAATGACTGATCTGTCATTCTTGAATATTTGTTATTGTTACCATTATAACTTTGTATTGGAAAATGCACAGTTATGTGTATAGTACACATATACAGTATATCCAGCGAAGTTGGGAGTACTGTGTTTAACCATTACCTGGAAGGAAAGGAATGATCCTGCGCTTTGGGTCCTTCTGGCCTCCCTCCACTGGGAATTTGTCCAGCAATTCCATCTGAAACCATACAAAAAAAGTGAAATATTTAGTTTCCGTAAATGTCTTTACCCTTAGAAATACTACATGGATATGTATTTAACAATATGCATTATACAGAACTGGAGAGAGGCAACTCGAGAGGAAGAGCTTGCATTTTTACAAATCAGCAGTTCCTCCTAGGAATTTGGCCAATAAAAGAAGGTCTGCCAACGATTAAGAATGTACCGAGCAGATGGTATGGTTTTCCCCCTCTGCCTCATACGCTGCTGCAGCTAAAGGTCTGTTTGCAGCAGGGCACTGCTGACATAGTGGAATATTTATGTCATTTTCAAAGGAAAAAAAAGAGGCTCTCTGTATTTACTTAATCATCATTTCTTGTAGTTTTACTTCATGTTTCGTTTTTCTTCAAGCTTAATCTGCCTTTCAAAAAGTTCAGCTGTCTTTGGACTTTAGCACTGACCTCATTGTAGCTGCATTTACCAGCGCTCTTGCCTCATTCCCATTTCCGTGGGTGTCCGTTTCCTTTGGTCAAATCATACTTGTCATCAAAGCACAGAGTTATTTGGGCATGTATTCAAATGTGTGTTTGTGTGCCTTACACTTTCTTTGCAGCTGAAGCTTTTAAAACAGCACCTGGCCACAATGATCAGAGAACTCCAGCAGCGCCCTCTCTTTTTAGTCTGATGTATTTTTCAACAACTGAAAACCTCCACTTACATCTATCTTTATTATTACGTCTCTAATGAACAACAGAGCAGAGCTTTTTTGGTCATTCCTTACAGGGGATTTTCAAGCCCCATCTGCACCAATCGCCCCAACAGAAATCTTAACAAATTACATTTCACACTCACTGAACTAACACCAAGCAACTTCATATTTTATAATGACTCATAATCAGTAACAACCCGAAGCTCAAAAAGAGAAAATAAAATCGTGTTTCCATTTCCCACCAGTGGTGCCCGCCCCACACATTGAGAAGCACTGGAGTGGAGGAACCACCCATTTAAATCAGTATTTTTTGAAACAGAGCATGTATACAATGATGTATTATATACACATGTTGAAAAGTATGGTAGCTAATTTAATTAATCATTTCATACATGCTGTTAGAATACTGTGCTATTTTTCTGTCTTGTAATTAGTTTTAGTTTAGAATGTCCTTTAACAGTCCTGTTCACTCCATCTCTCTTTTGTAAAATACTTCTTTCCAATTTTTTCTTCTGTGAACCTTTTCTTCTGTACATTTTAGAATTAAATGACATGAAGGTAATGATATTGAACAAGGACATGGTGTCCTTATAATGAGTTCTGACCGTGTTCTGTTTAATGTCGACATGACACGGTGATTACACCCGACCAGAGTGTGCTACGGGAAGGACACTGATGAGAGAAATTAATGATAACTTGATATGATAACAGAAGGACGACAATGGCAACTACACGAAAAACCCAGTAAAAGAAATAATAATTTAATATCCGAATTAAATGAAATGAATGAGTGAACTACAGTAATTCATTTGTGAAATTAATCAGGTTCAAAAATTTTAATGCATTTTGAGGCTTATTGTTGCTCTAATACACATGGTGTTATTTACACATACATTTATCTCGATTAATCATGATTAATCTACAGCTACCCTCTGATTAATCAGATTAAAATGGCAGTTAAAACATTGAATAAAATGAGGGAAAACAAACATAGGGTGGAATAGTTATATAGGGTGAGGTAATGGAAAGAATACTGAAAACAACATGTCAAATACTTCAAATACTTTAATGGACTGCCTGTCAAGAAAGCATTGTTTCCATTAAATAATCAGTGTCTAAAACCCTGAGGATAAACAGATGACTTGGACATACCACTCAGGCCTCGAAAAGCTCATATGGTTTAGCAATAAAGAGGACATCTGTTAACCACATGTCTATACATCCCTGCTGGCCTTTAGTTGTTTCTTTCTTCACTTTTTCTTTTTCTTTCACTTATATCTTGCTTTACAAACTGATTCTTATTTCATGGAAAACAGTTAAGGCCTGGTTACGTAAACCTTTGCAACGAGTTTCCAAAATCCCTGGAGTTCAACAAGTCATTAAGGATGAAAAAAGACAAGAAAAAAAAGAAAAAGATATTTACTTCATAAATCTACGTCACAGAGGTTTCACACACACTTGAAACGGCTCAAATAGTTGTAGTACCATTGATGTACGTTGCATCAGTCTGCGGTCAGTTTTCACTGGGAAGGTTGCACATGTTTAGCTTCATTAAGAGTTAACAAAAGGATGAGTAGGTTTAAATGCTTTACTATAGAAACATGGACACCTAGAGAGAGAGAGAAAGAGAGAGAGAGAGAGAGAGAGACAATACCCCACACGGTGTAATTGTTCCCATGTGTCTGACTCTGAGTGCAGGCACACCCAGTCTCTCTCTGTCTCTCTCTCTGTCCGCCTGTCTCCGTCTGCTCTGGAGCATATATCTAGTCTGTAATCAGAGACACTAAACAAGAAAAGGCATCTGCAGGGTAAAGTTGTCCCTTTAAAAATACAACTGACATCAGACTAACACATCAAATATTCATGTTGGACTGGCTGGAGGTTGTGGAACAAAGGCAGGGCCACAGTTCAGTGCTGCACTGTTCTCCACTATGAGGAATGTTATTTGAAGAACATGAAAGACATCAGGTCTTTTTACTGTGGAGGTTGTAAAAAAGACAGTATGGTCAATCTACATGTGCATACAATTCAGTGTGTAAGAATCGAAAAGAGCTGGTTTATAGTCTGTAGTCTGTGGCAGTCTATATAGTGCAGCTCTAGACTTTTGTAATTTGTGAAGGATAAGGCTGAAAATTGTCCTGGTGAAAAAACCATGTCCTCAGAAAATATATCTTCTTCACAAACCCCCCGTATTTCATCCCAATATAGCCTCAACTTAGATTCAGATTTTACAAACCGTGAGTGCAAATCCAAAAGTGGCTTAGAGTTCATCATTATTCCATATTTGTGATCTAGTCCGTCATAGAAGTCTGGGATTAACTAGTGCCTACCATCACAGAGACTAAAGGTCATGAACATTCAGCAGCTGTTCCTACATTTGCCCTTTTTACACAGATTTCCTGTGACTCCTTTAACCTTTAACCAAACTTTCAGCTGCCGGTAGTGATCGTAATTGTTTCCTTGCCGTGTCTCTCAAAAGTTTGACACAAATTGTTGCACCATGATGCTCTTTTTCATGCAAAGACCAAAGTTTTTCTGTTGCCCCTAGCTGCAGGCACCACTCTCTAAATAAGTTTAGTGTAAAAACATTCTGGAGTTTTAATAACGGTTTTCTAATTGGAACTATTTTTTTTAACTAAGTAAAGACTATCTGCTTCATATTAATAGGAGATGACAAGTAGGCTAATAAAGCACGCTGCTGTGAACATGATGTATAAACACTATAATTGTATTCTTGGACTGAATAACGTAATCTTCTGCAGGGCTGTAATTTGTCTAGTCTATATCCGCTGTAACCACATCAGCAACCTTTAAAAGAACGGCCTAATACAGAAGAAAACCCAAAGAACAATGACTGCTCTTTTTTCAGCAGGCCATATCTCAGTAGATTCTCTTACCCATTAACTGTGGACTCATGCATGAGGTCATCTTAACCCTTTGCATTCATCCCTGCTCTAGAGGGGAAAAGCCCAGCTTTTGTCGGTGGCAGAGCTGAAGAGTAAGAAGGTGACTAGGTCAAGTGGATAGGCTTCAGTTAGAGGCAGAGGCAAAACGTTACTTTTAAAAGGACTATGTGCATATCTTAACAAAGAACAGTTTGTAATTGCTGTCACAGTAAAGAATATGTGACAATATACAAATGATGCTAGTATTTAAATGACTGCACCCGTCACTTTATATTCACAAAAAGCTACCTGTGTGTCTTGTGCAATTTTATATCTGTCTTTAATTAGATTTTATACACATCTTGATTATTTTATCAGTGTGTGTGCAAGCACAGATGCATGTGTAAAGGGCACATGGGGGGGAGGGCAGATAATATGAATGTGTGGACAATAAAAGCCTTCTGTCGTTGGACTAAGAAGTGACTACATTAACAGCCATTACTTTCACTTCATTGCGATTTTTTTTTTTTAAATCCCACACTTTTTAGTCGATCCCTAAAGAGCCATTCTCCATCTAACTGCCAAGGTCAAAGCAGAGGAAACAGCATTTAGATGTATGGTCGTGACTCAGTGTGTCCCAAAGTACACGAAGTAACTTAATAAACCTGCTTGAATTTTGATTTAGGATTTCAATAAAATATGATCAACATACAGTATATGTCTAATATCTAATAATATTTTATTCAAATAATAAGTGTATAATAATGTAAAAACAAATGTGTTGTTTCTCACAGACATCATCCAGCACTACGGTGCTACCAGAAAGAATTTACATGTTTTTCACTAGTAAATAATTCATTAGTTACGTGGCCGTTCATCTGTTTACCTTGTGATTTCACCAGTTGTTTAAAACTCCACTGTGTCCCAGTGACACACTGAGCTGCTGGAATGTTAGTCACTAGAATACCAGACTCTTGATCTCCCCTGGAGGCCATGAGCATGGTTCAAGTTTCTGGTATCATACACAGCCCCACCCGGTCTCCTGTCGTTGCTAAGGCAAATATACATCTATCAATGCATGGATATATTTAGGTATATGTTGCTGGGCCTACCACATGATGAAATATATAACTATATTTTAGCACATGAAGCAACTTTGGACTTTGGTGTTGAGGACATAAGTGAGTAAAGACAGTTTCTGTTCTTCCGTTGTTGCTTTAGTCACAGCAGAGGTCTTGGAGTGACTTCCTGCAGACCCTCTCAGAGGGTGTGAGCCCCATTTTGAAGACCTCTGATTTCCAGAACTATGAAATACGTATTTCATCAAATTGTTATGACCACACAAAGTGGACAAATATATTTGTATTTAATATTTTGGCAGTTTGATTAATGCACATGCTGATATGTTAACGTTTGTCCAGACTTCATGATGTCCAACAGTGGACATTTGTTTGTGTGTAAAATGACACAACTTTTAAATACAAACTTCCATCTTGTCTTTCTACTTCTTTCCTTTTCCTATCCTTTTTTTACTCCCCCATTCAAAAGGAGCAGCAGTGTCTTTTTTTATGTTTGTACTTGTAAAACCAATAAGACAGTAAAAATCTTGAATTTAAACAGCTGAGGATGTTTAAAACCTCAGCTCGTGAAGCCAAGTGCACATCTGTGCAGTGAGAAGAATGTAATGTGCAACAGGGAGATACATTTCCTGCACTTCTGTATGTAGCAACTTGGGCTTTTATAGAGATGGAGATTAGATTAAATTAATTAAAATGTATATTACAAATAAAAAACTCTCAGTGGTTACTTTTTTATCACTCATCTTCCAATGTCCTCATTTGGCTACAGGACCACGGATGGGAAACAAAAAGCTACCTATAAAAAGGTGAACACCAGTAAATTATAGTAAAAATGTTTAATTACCTTCACTATAATGTGTCATCTAAATAAACAGGTGTAAAATGAAACAAACGGTTTGTCGTAACAGTAGATGCAAACCCCGAGGCTGAGTCAATAATAGACCCTGAGCATCAGCTCCCTGGACCAGCTGTGCTGACAGGATGTGGTGAAAAACACTTCCTGTTTGCCTCTGAGGTGTTGTAGTGACCAAGTAGTTATAAGTACCACTATTTCACCTACAGCTGTGCTCAATTCACAGAGACTGCTGAATCACACAGGGCACAATTTAGAATTATACAGAAATGAGAAATGACCCACACAACCACAACAAAAACAATAGAGCTTTACCAGAAATGAGGAAGTGGAATTGGAGGAAATAAGTGACTCACAACTGGGTCATCATCCTTTTCCAGGCCCTGGGATGACACCCCATGATTAGAGTGGGAGCCAAGGTGAAGTTTTATGAGATCTATTGGAACTAAGACACCAGAACACTGTTATTTCTAAAGGGTTTGTCTTTAGGATCTCAACTTTCAAGAAGCATGACAGAGGTATAGACACAATATCTCTATTTATATTAGTATTACTTGCTTCAGTTGTGTTTAATGACATGTCCCTCAATACTGAGGGTCCGCCCACAGGCTGCCTTCACAGCAAGAAGCAGCTAAAAACACCTGCTGGGGATCTCCCTGCTGAAGTCAACATAGTTATATAGTCCTGACTCTGATTGGTTGGTTGTCACAGGAACAAATTATCATTTTAACAATTATAACGTTCTACTGAAGATTTGATTAGTTAAAAGCCTTAGGTTGAAAGTAACTTGTGCTTCATCTAATTTCATTCAAACTCCAACACAAAATATATCATCAGTAAGAGTCAAAATATGGCTCCATGTTTCAATGAGCAGAGCTGTGGCGCAAAATTCTTGACACATATGCTAGCAACATGCTAGCAGCTAACCTGTTAGTTAGTTGTTTTAGTATACAGTAGGACTAACAGGGGGTGGAGGGAGCTTGGGGTAAATTCATGGAAGGCTGACATAATTTATACTCATCCATTTGTTTATGCTTATTGCATTTGCGCAGCTATAAATTCACATTGCGACAAATGAAAGACTGTGGGCAAATAATATCCACTTGGTAATCAAATACTCGGACATTTTATGGCTAATGTAATATTTAGGGGCACAGAAAACCCTCCGAGGGCCATTATAATTCTTTTTCTCATTTCTCATGTTTGACCATGCTGATCAATAAAAAGGCATTAAATTTCCTTAAGTTGACAGTGTGCTTTGCCCAAATTGACTTCCTGGGTTTCGTGGAGTTCATGCTCTCGGAGCTCAGACATGACCAAAGCCCCTGATCCATTATCTCCGTATAAGGAAGGGAAACTGAGATACTAATGAGATTCCCTCCTTGTGCAACAGACATCGCCAGCATGACGATCGAGAATGATTTAGACATTTCTGTGGTCATCACTGCAGTCACAGCATTCATCGCTGTCTTGTGCTAACTGCATCGGGACTGGCCTTACGCAATATAATTACCAGTGTCATATGAATGTTTGGTGGTGGATGGAAAGCCACTTCTGCATCTTCAGGAAAGAATATTTAAAATCATCAACATTACTTTCCACCTGAAAAGAAAATCCAAAGTACAACAATGTGGTTTCACACACCCACAGTCAAACAGATTATCTCACCTGCAGGTCGAAGAACTTGCTGTAGCGTCTGAAAATGATTTCTGTGCTGCCATCACTCCAAGACACTTTGATGATGTAAACCTGGAAAAGCAAAGCATAAAAAATAGTTTTAAGGAACTCAAGAATTGGCAATAACTGCTGAACACTTGATCATCCAAAACCCCCTGAGGAAACACTTGTGACTAATCATGTTGGTAATTGGCAGTGATGTGACGCCTACTGAGGGCAGCATGATGGAAAAGGAAGGAACATCATTGTCAGGCAACATCCACCCACAGTCCCTGTCATCATCTGCTCATGCTAAATGTTGTCTAGTTACCTCACTGCCTGAAACTACTTCCCACAGGTGCACTACATTATTTGAAGCATTCAACCATTTTCACAATGTCAATAAACAATGTCACACTGTTAGTCTCTAACCCTTGTAAATTAACAACCTTGTGTAATAGCTGCAGCTCAGACGTAACACTGTCTACTCCTTTAAAGAGGAATAAAAGAGAGGAGGCATTTGGGTGACTGGAAACTCCTGGGTGGCTGGTTTTGTCCGACTGAATGTTGCTGGCTTCAGTCCCAGAGGTTCTCTGGCCTTGCTCTCTCTGTCTCCCTCAGGCCATTTAAGTTTTGATACTGCTGTTGAAAAGGCATCATTGAGTGCTGCACAATTTAAGTCAGAAACAGAATTTCTATGCCAGTGTTTCCATTTTCAGTTGTTGTTTCAAATATTACCTTGTGTTATTGGTGTATTATCAAAGTATTACATGTATTTGGCCATCAAAAATGTTCTCATCTATCAAACATTTGGGATGACAACGCCCCACTGTTCCACCGTACTGCTAGCTTTCTACTAGTGGGGCAGTGGTGGCTTGGTGGTGAAAGAAGTGGACTTGGGTCGAGAAGGTTTTAGGTTCAAGTCCACCAGTTGCCAAGTTGAGCATTGTTTTAATAAACAAAACAATGGTGTCAGTGTCAACATCTAAACGGTGTTTTAATAAACAAAACAACGGTGTTTTATTAAACAAATAAACTCACAATATATGGATTAAACAAGTCTCAAAAAATGACTTGGTGTCAATTGTAAACGCACCATCATTCACCTTAACAGAGGATGTGTGTTCAGGGCTGCAGCACCTCTTCAGGTGAACATTGTTGACCTCTGGTATAATCCGTTATGGAGTATATTTTCAAGTACTAGAACATGCTGGATTAAGTATCAGGCCCCATATTGATAATAGTTATGGTATAAGTTCATCTGTCTAATCTTTGTGGGTATATGAGTGTCTGTGTGTGTGCAGGGATTTCAACAGTCACTCTACAACACAGGATACACCCAGCGACACAGCAGACAGATGGAGAGGACACGGGACCTCGAGAACTCTGTGTCCTTGATGGACAACACTCGCAGCAGTAGGATGCAGCACAGTCCAGGGAGCCAGCCTTCACTTCCTCACATTTTATGGATGCAGCTCAACATATGCCTACATTGGCACAGACCCAGGTGCTGGCTGTGGACACAGAACAGTAACAGGAACACCTGCGGTGGAGATTGGCAGACTCGACTCTCCTGCTCAGGTGATGTCATATGTGTTACTTTCATCTGACCGTTAATGTGTGTGTTTGCATTCTTAGTAGAAATATTAACCACCATGACACGAACCCACTGAACCACCTACGTTAGAACGATGAAAGATCTATTGTCTGTGCAGTACAGAAAAACGTCGAAACTGTTTTGGCTTTTTGTCAGTTTTGTCTCCCACTCAGACTCACTGCAGTACCAGTGGGAGACGACTTGCATGACTCTTTGAATGGAAAAGAAATGTCCACACACATTCTTTTGGTCTACCAACTTTCCTTTCCTTTCCTTCTGTAGAAGTCAATTTGAGAAAATGTGATAGGAGTATAGAGACGGGAGTATAGTTACTTCTTTACTACACGATGATAATGTACACACAACTCAGTTACAACATGTCTGATCAATATACTGCAGTTAACAATGAAATACTACATTATATTTAAACCCTCTTTTTGTCAACAAATAACCTTATATTTACTGCAGTGACCTTAAGACTAGCTAAATACTGGTCAGTGATGTTGAACTACATTTTAAACTGAAAATGCACACCTTTAACTATTAACCCACAAGTGTTAGTCAGTACAGTTGGTGGACTGGACTGATCGGACCACATGAAACAGGAAGCATCCATCCATCCAGTTTTATTAAGACTTTTGTTCATTCACATTTTAAGACTGTTTAATAACATAACATTTTCAAATAACATTTTTAAAATATGTTTCTCTGAAATTTCTCTGTCAAGTGTCAAGTTTGGGTTGTTTTTTGGGTTGTTTTTTTTTTTTTTTTTGCCAAACATAATGGAAATCTCACCCGTTGCCAATCAGTGTTAGTCATTTGATGAGAATATGATGCAGGCGTGACCTGGTGCGGAAGAAATATCCCCCAGAATTGAACTAAAAAGCAATTATATTGTTGTGATACAACAGATGTTTTTAAACTTTGATAGAAGACATGCAGATAAATATTTTTGTCATGTCATTAAAATAAAACTTTTTCACCTTTTCTTTTAACTTTTTGACTTGCCCTCAAATGTGCGTGTATATGTGACACTGCCAGTCACATGTGTTTACTGAGGTCACATGGGTCACATTTATTTAGAAGTCACTGAATCAGATTGTTGGAATGAATAAAGAGGATGCTGACTCATACAAAATGTTGAAGTCAACATTTACTAAGTTTCCAAAACCACAGAAGAATCTTTGACTTTGAAGGTTCCCTCTGTACTGGATATAAACTTTAAATATGATTACTTAAGTTAAAGTCAAATCATAGTTTATTTTTTTCTGTTGAAAGTTGGAGTGAAAACCTAGTAAAGAAAGAAGGTTGTTTAAGTATTTTTTTTTTCCTCCACTCCTGCTGCCTTGGTCGGCTGTAACTTGACACTCTCTTTGTTTTTACTTTACCAGACAGGAAAGAAAGACGAGCTACAGAATAAACCTCGACCCGCTTCTCAGTTCGGGAATCTGATTGCGGTAGTTTAGATGGTTTAAACAAAACGGGTCTTACATAGTGTTTGCTGGGACTCCTTCGTTTCTGGACATCCTGCACGGTTACTTCTTGTACGGTGCGCCGTGGCATGGTGTCCGCCTCTTTCGGTTTCCGTTACACAGATGGGAAAAATGAATTCCGATTAATTCGGTAAAAATATGGATTATCCCGTGAGTGTTTTTTTTTTGTTTGTTTGTTTGTTTTTTCTAAAGAGCGACCGAAACCAGTAAAGAAAGTTTGTGCGGCGGCGCTTCTTCTTCGTCAGCTGCGCCGCTAAGATCCGCGACCTTTGGAGCAACAAATGTCTTTCTTGAAACGCCGTGAAAATTCCACTCCAACATTCGGCCGTTCGAAGGCCAGAAGTCAACGCTCGATCGCTTTCTCTCTTCGCCCCTTTACTTGAGCCTTATCCCGTCCCGCTGACTGCTCCTACCACACTCCCAGCCTATCCCAGCTCGCCCAATCCCATTACAGCAACTGGGGCGAGCATAAGCTCCAAGGACCAGCCCCGTCCAGCAGCGTCACTGCAAACCACAGGCTGAGAGAGAAGAGAGGAGAAGAGAGAGGGGCTGTGATCGATGCACTGTATGACGCTGTATGACTGTTGCACTATTAGAGATTTATTCACGATGTTTGTAAACAATATGCAGACAAATACGTGGTGCATATATAACATTTTAGAGGTGCGTCTAAAGTCTGGCCCAGGGGTCAATCACAGCACACAGATTGGTTTCATATGGCCCTACAACACAAATAAGTATGAATTAAATGTTTATTGAAATAAACAGCATTTTACCTTCTATGGGTGGACCATTGATGTAGTTTAAATCAATTACTCCTTTATCTACTTCTGTTCAAGTGCAGGATCCTTGCCATGTCTGCAGTGGGAGCTGGAGCCTGTTGTTGCAGATATTGGACAAGAGCGTGGTACGCACTGGAGATTTTCAAAGGTCCATGGAAGGGTCACAATTTGACAAACTCTCAAACTCTAACTCATTCTTATGATCAGTTTAAAGTGAACTATAACCCAACGCCAGCGTGTACTTGGACTGAGGGAGGAAACTGACCATCACTGGGCAACAGAGAAGTCATTAGGCACATTTTACCTTCATCTAACAGCAATTTAATACTTCATATCAGAAAGGCATTTAGCCTCATTTAACACATACACACATTTGAAAAAAAAACGTCACCTCAAACATTTATCCTCACGGATTTTTGACTGATGGTTATAGCTGTTTAGCTATTCTGTCTCAATGTCTTTATATTTCGGCTAACTTTAAGCTATTTTGATCTTAGTAAACTATGCCCTTGGCTACTGTTTAACTATTTTGATAACTTTGAACAATTACTTTCATGGTTCACTTTCACTAAGTTGTTCTTCTGTTTATTAGCAAACCTTCTGCACAGTTGTTTTCATTAGAGTTTAATGACTTTCATGTTTATATATTTTTACTCTGTGTTAAGTATGTGTTTATATGACTATATATGTTTATTAGACTTTTTTTCTTCTGTTTTTTTACATTTATTCATATAATTATCTCATGTCATATACGTGTATTAAATCTAGAATAAAGGAAACGGAAACGTGATGTATCTCAGTTGTATTCATGACTTCTGGTCTTTGCAGATATACAGTATATACTAAGACTAATGGTTCCTTTTGTTACAACAGGGCTCCCTCTTTTGGTATTATGATAGCATTGCAACCATGATGTATATGTGGCACTTTTCCCTGCATGTGTTCTGCAAAAAGCCTACCGCCTTCATGAGGCCAGTTACCAGTTGCGCTAAACACAACAGTTTAGCGCAACTGATGTGGTTATTGAATGATCTCAAGAAATTGTGATTTATTTTAAATTTAAGATAACCATTGATGAACCATTGATCAGCAAAACAATCATAGGCATTTCCCATAGGTGACAACACTGCCAGCTTAACTGCCACTACTTTGTCAATAGAAGGTTAATGCAACATACAAAAGAGTTTTTTTACACTTAATATCAGAAAAACAATTCTGAAGTTAAAATGGTAGACAATGGAAGCATCTGTAAGCAGCTGTAAAAACCCCACAAGCTGTGATTGTCTAATAGGCACAGATAGAGAAAAAGGACGGTGAGAGAAATTGAATTAAAACAAAAATGAAGCTAAAAGGGAAGTTTACTTAATGGACCGAGCTCTGGGATTTTACGTGTTCTGATGGTCTTATCTTTCTAGTTATTAATACAGTCAGGTGTGCTCTGCTTTCATTACAGGACTGAAAATGGAATCTCACTGAGACTTTTGGGAGTTTAGTCATTTTAGGTTTTTCCCACTTCAGCTTTAAACAAGACGTCACATTAATTTGGAATACTACTTTAGAATTTTGAGGAAGTGCACTTCAAAGTTGGCTAATGAGAAAGCAGGAGCTAGTGGGTGTTATTAAAGTCAATTAGAAAAGGTAAAATCTTGTAATTTGGCACAGTTTAAAAGCTGTATATTCACCCAAATGTGGCATCTATTAAATTCGCTATTTTAAAACACACACACACACACACACACACACACATATATATATATATATACATATCAATGGTGATTAGAATGCCCTCAGATAGTAAAATCTGACCTGTTTGCTTATTACTCTAAAATCATCCTCATTTTTCTAAAGACTGTAATGAAATCTTTTACATATTTTGACCATTCAGCAGACAAAAACAAGGATCAAACAAGCTAGCTACCAACATAGAAGCCACCCAAAAGTGGGATAGTCTACATGAGGCATCACCATTAAAAGATCCAGGCTCCTAATGACCAGTGTCTGAACGTTAATGTGGTATCATGGCGAGGTAATGGCTCTCTGTGATGTCTAATCATGTCTGCTTTATCAGGAGATGAAAGGAGCTGACAGTACATGTGTTTTACTGATAATGCAGTTCAGTTAGAGGAGAAGCGAGGGCTAATGATGTCTTATCAACTTAGGATGCTCACCATGGGTACACACAAGTATGTAAAGACACACACATGTCTGCGTACTCCCACTGCGCTCCCACTCCACAGGCGTGTACACTGATGGATTACTTTACCCGGCGATGGCGGCCCATAGAGGGGTCATTACTTGTGAACAGGCTTTGATGGGGTTTCACATGCACCTGGGTCCTGGTGTCAGAGGCAACCAAGAGTTCAATGAAGTCTCAGCTTCCCTTCTTAAATACCGTTTCTAATCCCCTGAAAGAACTTCCTTTTAATTCTCACCCAACACCTCCACCATAATAACCTTAGCGCTGCCTTTGACCTGGCCAAGACCCTACGAATTACAAGTTACAGGGATTAACGTTCGTTGGTAACAGCATCATTGATATAAGGTGTAAAAAGCTCATCTCTGTTCAACTGTCTGTTGAAGTAGAGACACGAGTACTTTGTAGCAGTGGGGGCTGCTCTGAGATGGCAATAGAAGATCCACTGCCTCTGAAATGTCATCAATAATTTAACAAATACACTGTACACTGTGTATTTCACATCTTATTTACTTTAAGTGCATAAAAACACAGATAACTTCATCCAGAATTTTCTGTTTTTCATAGATTGTCCATTGCCGTTTGTATTCCTTTAGCAGACTGTATAGAACTCTGTTTAACTCAGCTTCAATTGACTTTCATAGAACAGCACTTAAATAATACAAATAAAACCAGGTTGGATTTTGTGAATTCTTGATAAACCCACTCTGCAGAATTCTCAAAAAAAAAAAAAAAAAACAAAAACAAAAAAAACAAAACAAAACAAAACAATTAAACAAATAACATCTTTTAGGGTTCTGCCATTCTTACATAACAACTTTATTTTCAAGATCCTATTACATTTTCCTATCCAAAACGTTTTGTTATAACGTTACAACTTTATTCCAACAAATACACGACTTTGTTGTTATAGAATCAAAAGATGTTTTGGTAATTATGTAAATATTGTTCCCAACATAGCTTTTGCAATCGTGCATTTTAGTTCAATCCGAGCCATGTAAAGTAGGATACGTAGAGTACATTCTCCTTGTCAGTGAAGGCATCTTGAATGGCAAGGCCTTCCCCCCCGCCTCCCCCATTTGCACTTGTTGTGATTGGCAGTCAGGGCGAGTAGCTTTGTGTTTCCTGATGTTTGTGTTCGCAGTTTGTACTCACTCAAACCTGTGGCGTATAAAACCAGGTTTGGAAAATGTTCAAATAATCAAACAACATCTGGAGATGTAACTGTGCAAGCAGAAGAACCCACGCAGAAGATTTGAGATAAACGCCCCACTCAACAACATGAAACTTTGTTTTGATTCTGTGCTTGATGGAACACGCGTGACCTTAACAGACCCTGGATATCTAGGCCTCCGCTCCGCCGTGGAACGCAACCCGTGGAACTGTGTGTAAAAAGAGTGGATTATCAGATAATATGTCAAATAAAACCGAGCAGCAGGCGTTGTTTGCACCGAAGCGCTGCGGAAAACCAAGTGGATACACTACTGCAAACACGGATTAAATGGGGTTCAGTCCAAATACACGGACGGCAGTCATTGACGTGGTCACCAACAGCAGCTCTAAGTGAGTACAAAACTGTTTCTTCTTTATTTTGTACATGCTGTGGTGACAATGATATGCACTGGTTAAACATTAGTTTATTAACAGTTGTTTTAAATGGACAAACGAGAGTCATGTAAATACTGCAGCTGTTTTTGTTTTGTGATGCGGATATGTTGCACAAGGTTTCGTTTTTCAGACAGCAAAGTTCTCACGAACGCATTTTTATTTAGTATCTTACTGCAATGACCTAGCACCTTATTCTAAAAGTTGTTGGACTGAAGACCATCTGTGACTGAGTGCAGTTTTTGGGAATTGTTTTCATTGTAACTTGGAATGAATGAAGAACACTTTACTTCGTGATACAGCATGTTTACAAACTTTTAAACAACAAGTTTAAACAACGATATACATGCTGTATTTGTAACTATTGCTTTTTTTAACGCAGTAAAAGCTCAGAATCATAATTTAATTGCAGAAATTCAAATAGTAGGGAAATGTATCAATGCACAAGCAGAGTACAAAAATCCATGAACCGTTTTACAACTAATTAAATTAGAATATGAAATATAATTGATTTCACCAGAGCTGCAGATTATGTTAAGATTCAATATGGATGGTCAATATGGACTTGTGTGAGCATGCACCCTCTGGACAGAAAAAAACAACTTATTGTTTAGTTTAAAAAAGAACTTTGATTGTGCAATTAGTTGTAATTCTCTTGACATTTTTACTCTATATTCTGCCTGAGCATACTGAGTGGATGCTCTTTACAGACGTATAATAATTGTGCTTGTAGGCAGACGGGGTCAGATAATCGTGGCAGCAACTCTAATTATGCTGCCCAGACTTAAGCCTTTGATTATCATTAAGTCTATTAACCTCACAGACACGGACAATTCCCATCAAGTTACCCTGGCACAACAACA